TTTCTCCACATTCTCACCAGAATTTGTTATATTCTGTTGTTCTTGTTTTGTTGTTGTTATTGTTTGTCATTGTTGTTGTTGTTGCCTTCCTAGTGAGTGTGAAGTGGTACCTCATGTAGTTTTGATTTGCATTTCATTAATGATTAAGGATAGCGAGCATCTTTTCATGTGCTCCTTGACTATTTGCATATCTTCTTTGAAGAGATGTCTATACAAGTCCTTTACCATTTAAAAAAAAAGATTTATTTATTTATTTTAGAGAAAGAGAGAGCACAAGCAGAAGGGGCAGAGGGAGAAAAAGAGAAAATCTCAAGCAGACTCTGCATTCAGTGAGGATCCTGACGCGGGGCTCCATCTCACGACCCTGAGAACACAACCTAAGCTAAAACCAAGAGTTGGATGCTTAACCAACTGTGCCACCCAAGTGTCCCAGTCCTTTACTAATTTTAAAAATTAGGTTGTTGGTCTTTTTGTTGTTTTGAGTTGTAAAAGTTTTAACATTCATAGATTCCAGTCACTTATCAGATATATCATTTGCAAATAGTCTTCCTAATCCTGTACATTGTCTTTTCACTTTTTGATTATGTCCTTTGGTGTACAAAATTTAAAATTTTGATGATGTCTACTTTATCTGTTTTTTTCTTTTGTTGCTTGTGCTTTTGGTATAATATCTAAGAATCCACTGCCAAATCCAAGGTTATGAAGATTTACTACTATATTTTCTTCCAAGAGTTTCTGGTTTCAGCTCCTATATTTAGATCATTGATCCATTTTGAGTTAATTTTTGTGTATGGTGCAAGGTAGGGGTACAATTTCATTCTTTTGCGTGTAATATCAAGTTGTCCTAATATCATTTGTTAAAGGGACTTTTCTTTTGCCATTAAATGGTCCTGGCACACATGTCAAAAATCAATCAGTCACTGACCTCAAAGGCACAGTCAGCAAAAGAAAATATAGACAAATAGAACTACCTCAAAATTTTAAAATTTTGTTCATCAAAAGACACTATGAACATAGTAAAAAGGCAACTGGAGGAAAGTATCTGCAATGTATCTGATAAAGTGTAAATGTCAAGCATATATATATATAACTCCCACAACTCAGCAACAAAAAACAAACAACCCAAATCAAAAAGAGGCAAAAGATTTGAGTAGGCATTTCTCCAAAGAAGATAAAAAATGGCCAATAAGTACATGAAAAGATGTTCAACATCACTAATCATTAGGTAAATGCAACCCCAAACCACAATGAGATACCACCTTTTAGGATACCTACTATCAAATAAACAGAAAATAGGGCGCCTGGGTGGCTCAGATGGTTAAGCGTCTGCCTTCGGCTCAGGTCATGATCCCAGGGTCCTGGGATCGAGTCCCGCATTGGGCTCCCTGCTCGGCAGGGAGCCTGCTTCTCCCTCTGCCTCTCTCTCTCTCTGTGTCTCTCATGAATAAATAAATAAAATCTTTAAAAAAAAAAAAAAAGAAAAGAGAAATAAACAGAAAATAACAAGCATTGGGAAGGATGTGGAGAAATTGGAATCCTTGCACATTGTTAGAAGGAAGATAAAATGGTGCAGCCACTGTGGAAAAAAGTTTGATGCTTCCTTAAAAAATTAATAGAATTACCACATGATCCAGCAATTCCACACCTAGACATATACCCAAAATAATTAAAAGCAAGGTTTTGAAGAGAGATCTGTATACCCAAGTTCATAGCAGCATTATTTACAGTAGTCAAAAGGTGGAGGCCACCCAAGTGTCCAACAATTGATGAATGGATAAGCAAAATATGGTATGTACATACAATGTGATATTATTTGCCCTTAAAAAGGAATGAAACTCTGACACATGCTACCATGTGGATGAACCTTAAGGACATTATGCTAAGTGAAATACGGTAGTTACAAAAATACAAATACTATATGATTCTACTTATGTGATGTTCATAGAGTAGTCAAGATCATAGAGAGAAAAATAGAAAGGTGGTTGCCAAGGACAATGGAGAGGGAATAGAGGAGCTAATGTTTAATGGATATAGAATTTCAGTTTTATAAGACAAAAGATTCTGGAGATCGATTACACAATATGAATGTGCTTAATAACACTGAACTGTACACTTAAAGTGGTAAATATGGTAAATTTTTTTATGGGTACCTTACCATAATTTTTAAAAGTCAGTATAGTAGTTACCTTTGGAGAGGTAGGAAAGGGCTTTGATGAGGAAAAGGCATGCATTTTCACTGTCATTGTACCCCTCTACTATAATTTTGGTGGAATTTTTGGGAGTTAGTGAGGTCAACTCTTAAATTTGAATCACTGTGCAGATTTTTGTTTTTCTGATTTTTTAAGGTGATAATACCAAGTAACAATGTGCAAAGCATAGGGTAAAATCATAGGGGAAGAGAGGAAAAAGTAAAACAAGATGAAACCAGAGAGGGAGACAAACCATAAGAAACTCTTAAACACAGGAAAAAAACTGAGGGTTGCTGGAGGGGAGAGGGGTGGGGGGATGGGGTAACTGGGTGATGGACATTAAGGAGGGCATTATATGAGCACTGGGTATTATGTAAGACTGATGAATCACAGAACTGTAACTTTGAAGCCAATAATATATGTTAATTAATTGAATTAAAATAAGAAAATAAAATCAGAAAAATCTGATGGCAGTAGAATTTTACATGGAGAAGTTCTAATAGTCAAATTTGAACATCCTCATGTAGTTCATGAGAATGAGTTCATCCAGCTGCAGGGGGTGGGAAGTTGGATGGATAAGAATTCACTGATTGGGTCATACAGCCTCTTAAGTATTTGAAAATTAGCTTCAATTATTTATCAAGGAAATCTCTTTCCCTTTTCTTCCAGTACTTGTAGTCTTAACAATAAGACTGCCGTCTTAACAATATTATGTCTTTCAGTCCATAAACACAGGGTATCATTCCAATTTTTTGGATTTCTGTATTAGTCTCTGTTCTCCAGATAGATAACAAATAGGTTAGGAGAGGGAGGAGGGAAAAGAGAGAGAGAGGTAGATTTACTATAAGGAATTGGCTCATGCAATTATGGAGGCTGAGAAGTTCAAGATCTGCAGTTGGCAATATACCAGCAATCCAATTCAAACAACAGCCATCTTAGTGTGCTCACAATTCTGTGATTCTCAAGAGCTTCCAGTTTATCTGGGCTCACTGTACTTCTCCTCTTCATTTCCATCAAATATTGGGATCTGGCAAGGATTATTTTCTTCTGTCTATTTTAGGTCAACCTCAGCCTCAGATTATAACATGATGTTATCCAAAGTATAGGTTTAGACAGACAATAAGTGAAGACCAGGTGCATTCTACCCGGGGAAGAGGAAAGGTGGTAGAAAACTATAAGGGAGGGATGGAGGGAATAAACAGCTACTGAGTACATCTCTAAAGCTGTTCTATCGTTTTTAAATAGGTTATGTCATTTAATATTTATGACAACCCTATGAGATACAAATTATCATTGCCTTTTGTATCAATGAATAAAAAGAGAACTTTTTGATAACATTCCCGAAGTTAGCTACATCACACAGAATATGAAAATAGAGTTCAGAATTCAGGTGGTTTAAATCTGTTTTGAGGTTGTTTCCTGTCCCCCCAGAGGTGGTTAGCTCTGTATTTAGCTTGATTATAACCAGAAAGAAGTCAGAAATCAGCTTTTGATCAAGATAAGAATGTATCGCTGGCCTTTCTAATTTTTTCATGCACTTTTTACCAATTAGTGTGACAAAGATGCTTTGCTAAGTGGAGGAAGGGTCCATATTTGACCAAGAGGAAACAGGAGTCACACTCAAAAGTTTGTCTTTTGTTCCTAAATATGCTACCAGAGGATAAACAGATTCAAATTCTGTATTTTAGAATTTGGAGTTGTAGACTAAAACATCACAAACAGTGCTGATTATGTTTAGATGTTAAGTCTATTCTTGCTGCCAAATGACCAAAAAAAAAAAGAAAAAATAGTGGTGATCATTGAATTTGCACCAATGCAGCCTTTGTGCTTACTTATTCATGAATGTGACACTAATTTTCCCCAACTCATAAAAGGTTTATAAGAGCACAAGAGGGAACATACTGAAAAGTTTTAAAATATTTAGTAATTGAATGGCACGTTTTCAAATTATGCTTGAAAATTAAAGTCATTTTTCTTGTTCAGTGCAATAAACCTGCATTAGTAGTTCATTGCTTAAAAGAGATCAAAATCCCTGTTTACATGTTTAGAATCTGCTTCTCTTGTATGGAGATACGGAAAAAAGTGAATATGTTTCTAGATGTACATAAAGCAAACTTTTGTTAGGATATCATTTCCTCCAATTTCTGCATCCCAAACCAACCTATTTAGCCATTCTCTTAACTTGTATTTCTACTTATTATGAGGAGCACCTGACCATTAAGACAACTGTTAACTCCTTGGGGACAGTTCCAGTCTTTAGATTTCATTCTTTCTAGTGTCTAGAGCAATGGTTCTCAACTTTGGCTGCAGGTAAGAACCAGCTGTGATAATTAATTTTATATTTCATCTTGCCTGGGCCATGGTGCTTAGATTATTTGGTTAAACATTATTTCTGGTGTGTCTTTGAGGATGTTTCTAGACAAGATTAACATTTGATAGGTAGATCGAGTAAAGCAAATTGCCATCCCCAATTTGGTTGCCTTCATCCAATCCATTGAAGTCCTGAGTTGAAGAAAAGGCTCAGTAAGAAAGAAATCTTCCTTTCTGCCTGTCTCAGAACTGGTACACTGATATTCTCCTTCCCTCAGACTTGGACTCAGACTGGAATTTACACCATCAGCTCTCCTGGTTTTCAGTAGTTCAGACTCAAACTGGAACAATACCACCAGCTTCCTTAGGTCTCCATATTGCCAACTGCAGATCTTGAACTTCTCAGCCTCCATAATTGCATGAGCCAATTCCTTATAGTAAATCTACCTCTCTCTCTCTTTTCCCTCCTCCCTCTCCTAACCTATTTGTTATCTATCTGGAGAACAGAGATCCTATATAATTGGAATGAACCCTGTGTTTATGGATTGAAAGACATAATATTGTTAAGACGGCAACACTGCCTGAGATGGTCTACAGATTCACTGCAATCCCTAGCAAATCTCTAACGGCCTTTCTTTTTTTTTTTTTTAATTACAGAATTGGAAAAGCCAATCTTCAAATTCGTATGGAATTGTAAGGGCCCCAAATAGACAAAACAGTCTTGAAAAAGAAGAACAAATTTGGAGGACTCACACTTTCTGATTTCAAAACTTACTACAAAGCTACATAATCACAACAAGGTGCTACTGGCATAAGGACAGACATACAGATCAATAGAACTGTGAGTACGAAATAACCCATGAACCATGGCCAGTGAATTATTTTCAATTTTCTATTGTGGTAAAATACACAAAACATAAAATTTACCATCTTAGTTATCTTTCGGTGTAAAGTGCAGTAATATTAAATACATTATTATTGTTGTGTGACCATCACCACTATTCATCTCCAGAGCTCTTTTCATCTTGCAAAATTGAAACTATACCCATTAAACATTAACTCCATAACCTCCCTTCCCTCCAGCCCCTGGCAACTACAATTCCATTTTATGTCTCTTAATTTTGACTACTCTAAGTACCTCATATAGGTAGAACCATGTAGTATTTATCTTTTTGTAACTGGCTTATTTCACTTAGCATAATGTCCTCAAGGTTCATCGTTGTTGTACCATGTGTCGGAGTTGCATTCTTTTTAAAAGGTAAATAATGTTACATTATATGCAGATACCTTATTTTGCTTATCCATTCATCCATTGATGAGCACTTGTGTTGCTTCCACCTTTTGACTATTGTGAATAATGCTGTTATGAACTTGAGTGTACAGCTATCTCTTCAAAATCTTGCTTTTAATTATTTTGGGTATATACTCAGACATGGAATTGCTGGATCATATGGTAATTCTATTTTTTAAATTTATTTTTGTTATATTAGTATCAGGTGTACAATATAGTGATTCAACAATTCTATACATTACTCAGTGCCCATCACAGTGAGTGTACTCTTAATCTCCTTAATCCCCACTATTTCCTTCATCCCCCACCTCCCCTCTGGTAATCATCAATTTGTTCTCTATATTTAAGAGTTTGCTTTTTTGTTTGTCTCCTTTTTTTCTTTATTCATTTGTTTTGTTTCTTAAGTTCCATGTATGGGTGAAATCATGTGGTATTTGTCTTTCTCTGACTTATTTCACTTAGGGTTATACCCTCTAGATCCATCCACGTTATTGCAAACGGCAAGATTTTATTCTTTTTTATGCTGAGTAATAGTCCATTGTGTATAGATATTGCACATCTTCTTTATCATTCATCTATGAATGGACACTTGGGTTGCTTCCATAATTTGGCTATTGTAAATAATGCTGCATTAAACATAAGAGTGCATATATCTTTTAAAATTAGTGTTTTGGTGGGGGGTGCCTGGGTAGCTCAGTTGGTTGAGTCCAACTCTTCATCTCAGCTCAGGTCTTGATCTCAGGGTCTTGAATTCAAACCCTATGTTGAGCTCCACACTGGATGTGGAGCCTACTTAAAGAAATAAATAAAATTAGTGTGTTTGTATTCTTTGGGTAAATACCCACTGGTGGAATTACTAGATCGTATGATAACTCTATTTTTAATTTTTTGAGGACCCTCCATAGTGTTTTCCACAATGGCTACACCAGTTTGCATTTGCACCAACAGTGCACAAGAGTTCCTTTTTCTCCACATCTTCACCAACAATTGTCATTTATTCTTAATTCATTTTTAAATTGTTCAGTTAGCATATAGAAATGCAACTGCTTTTTGTTGGGCATTGATTTTGTATCCTGAAACTTTGCTGAATTCATTCATTAATTCTACATTTGTGTGTGTGTGTGTGTGTGTGTGTGATCTTTAGGGTCTTCTGTACTGTATTATGGTAATCATGTCCTTGTTTTTCTTTATACTTGACCACATAAAACATGCATGTCTAAGCAGTATAATTTACTTTTATCTGGTTTTGTACTTCATATGCATTGAATCATATAAAATGTATTATTTTGTGTCTGGCTTCCTTTATTCAACATTATGTTAGGTTATCCATGTTTTTGCATCTGAATTGTATTCATAGTTTGTTTCTTTCATTACTGTTATTATTTCATTGTGTAATAAAAGCGTTTTACATTCTATAACTAAGGGACACAATTTCTACAGTTTTTGGTGATGAATATTTGGATATTTTCCAGTTTTTTGCTACTATAAATAATAATACTATGTATAGCAGTTCATTGGCTGCAAAGAACACCCTTGCATGTGTCTCTTCATACACACAGGCAATTCTATAGAATATGAACATATGTAGCCGTAAAACTGTTGGATCAGGAGGTATGCCTATCTTAAAATTTAGTGACTAATACCAAACTATTTTCTGAAGTGGTTGTACCAATTCTATTCCACTTAGAAGTACATGACAGTTTCTGTTCTTCCACATTCTTGACAACTCTTGGTTATATTAGTCTTAAATTTTAGCCATTCTAGTAGGTGATCAAAGGCATCTATTACAGTTTTAGTTTGCATTTTCCTGAAGATTACTGAGTTGAGAACCTATCCAAGCCTTTGTCCATTTTTCTACTGGGTTATTGTTCTTTTTCCTTATTGATTTGTAGGAGTTCTCCAAAGTGGATTGTGTTGCTGCTGTCAAGTGTTTGAATGAATGCTCCAGTCAATGCTCAAATTACTATATTCCAATCTTAGGACTCGAGATTTTCTGGGCCACAGATGACCTTTAGTTAAGCCCTAGACTCTAAGTTTTCCACACTAACTTTTGAAAACTATGAAAAGCTCTGCTTCACAGAAAACCCAACCTGCAACAAAAATGTTTTTGATAATTCTGCAGAGCTAGATGGAGTTTAGTGTTTAAGGTGTTTATTTGGGAGTCTTGTTGAGATCAACAACTGTGAAAAGGAGGTAAAGGAAGCAGAAATTGGGTAGAAGGAAAAGTCAGGCTATGATACAGACCCAATAACAGGTGACTTGAAATGGCCCATTAGTGTTGTCCTAAGTAGGAACAAAATGGCCAAACTTTTATACCTCCATATCAATAATTGGATGTGGGCCATTCTAGGAATGGTATGATCTTGGTCAGGTGGCTCCCTACAGCTGAGACAATCCCTGAACAGGGCAATAACTGAAGGCTCTTTGCTGACAGCATTCTTAGCAGCTGAAGCATCAATTATTTCCTTGAAGACCAATTTGGGCTATACAACTCTGTGTCCTCTCAGCTACTTGTTCTAAGTCAGCAAATGCCCCCTGTTTTTCTCTACTCTGGATTTAACTCCAGTATTTATTTCCTTCATATGATTTACACTTTTTGATGCTTTTAAGAATATGGTTGTTCTATTCTAACCTTTTTTAGTTTTCTTCAATAGGAGTATTGGTCTAAATTACCTATCCACCATCACCAGAAGGGGAAGTCCTGATCAGGTCTAATAGCTAGGGATGGGAGTTTTAATGTCTTTATAGAGATTTGGCTAACTTTGGGATAGAAACTTGAACCTAAATAAGGAGCTGGAACTGAGCCCCTGAATAAAACTAGGGTCTCCCCAAGGATGCTATTTCTATGAAAAGGAGACTAAATGAACTTCACCCATGAAGTTTTTGGAAAATACAAGGTATCTGGTCATCTGCCTGATTTGGGGAATGTCAGAGGAGCAGAGCTGGGGTTCTCCTCTAAGAAAATTAACCATGAGACCACTCCACCAGTACTGTGTGTGGTGTACAGTATCTGAATTTATATTATCCCATGCTCTAATTCATTAATTTAAAAATTATCCCTGACTATTGAAAAAATGTGAGGGCACACAGCAGGAAAAAAACCCTACAAAATTGTTCCATGGGGATCTTCTACACCCGCAGGATGCATTAATTTACACATATAAAGCAAATCCCCATTGAAGTTAAGCTAGAAATAAAAATTTATAAACAACATGAGGTGATATAGCATGAGGAAGAGTCACCAGACATAACAAACTGGAGAACTGACTGACAGGCTAAGAACTTGAGGTGACAGAATAATCTCAATCTACAAAAAAAATTGTTAAAATGGTCGTAGATGAAAGAAGTAATAGCAATCACAATGATAAATAAATCACTGTGAGAGAAAAGAGGCAAATTTAAAAAGAATGAAGCATATTTTTATAAATGAATATAGTCATTATAGGCAGTGAAATTTAAAACTCAGTAAATGTTTAAATAGTAAAAAAGGGAATTAGTAATCTGGAAGATAGATCACTGAATATTACACAGACTGTACATTAGAGATATGGAAAACATGAAAGAGAGGTTATAAGATATAAAGGGTGTAATTAGCACGTCTAACATATATCTCAAAACAATTCTACAAGGAAAAAAATAGAGGAGCATCTATGTTTGTAGAGAAAATGGCTGCACATTTTCTAGAATTAAAGAAAGGACATGAATCTTCAGACTGAATATACACCAAGTACCCTACTGGATAAATCAAATGAAATGCAGAAGTAGACACATTGTCACCAAAGTACAGAATACCAAAGACAGAAAGAAAATTTAAGACACCAAAGAAGAAAAGACAGTGTATTTATAATGGAAAAAAAAATTCAACTGGCTGACTATAGACTTGTTATGTTGACAGTCATAAGATGATAGAATAATAATTTCAAAATATTGAAGGAAAATGACTCCAACTCTATAAACCTATGCCCAGTGAATTGTCTTCAGGATAAAGGAAAAATAAAATCCCTTCTAAACAAGCAAAGGATAAATTTATTGCACTCAGACCCCTGAAGAAAGATAAAAATACATACTTTAGGAAATTTAACCCAGAGTGAGATATGGACTGTAAGAATAACATGAGCAAAACAATGTGGATAAATCAAATTAATAGATGATGATATAAAAAAGAAAATGAAGAATCACATTTTAAGAAGAAAGAGATATTGACTAATTTTAGATTTTCAGTCAAGTACAATCAGTAACTCCCAAATCGGTAAAGGGAGAAAAGGTAAGTAAAGAAAACTCAATCCAAACTTTTTCTGCCCATGGGTCCTGTCCCCATGCTTTAATAAAAACACCTTTTTACACTGGGGGAAAAAAAAGAAAATGAAAACTCAATCAAATGAATGAATGAATACATACATACATACATACATACATACATACATACATACGCAAGCAAGCAAGCAAGCAAGCAGACAAGGGGGAACAAATAAAAAGCCTAGAAAGTAGACAATATGGTAGGAATGAATCCAAATATATGAGTGGTCATAATAAATGAGATGGATTGAACT